AGGTGGTGAGCAGTGCGGCGAGGCCCTTTATAGACACGACGCATATCGCCAGGAGTCTTAAACGATAGACAGGCGGCTGGGAGTACGCTGTGAACTACTTAGAGTGTGACCTAACTTAATAATACCAATTACATAATAATTTATTTATAAACAGTCTAGCTTTGTATAGCTGCATGCGTAAGCATGCTTTTGTCCATGCATCAAATTGTGGTGTGTATCAAATGCTTTGGCCTTGCCCGTAGCTGTTGCGTCATATGTTCATTCCTCAACTCGCTCGTGATGATCTTCGAGTACGTTCAGATTTCTTTTCTGTTGTCGTTTGGCTATCGGAAGTGCCGTGGTGCTTGGGAGTTGAAGGAGGTTTCTCTCTCTTCTTTTCTTTCGTTCTGTTTTTTGTTTGTTGTTGTTTCTTGACGGATCGACGGCTATGACGGCCAGAGGTTTTCGTCTTAAGAATCGATCGTTCTCTCTCTCTGTGTGTTGCTCTGTCTATCTCTGTCTCTCTCTTTGTCTCTCCGCTTTCTCTCGCTTTTGTACCTTTCTCTCCATCTAAGTAGATGAATGTCACTGTCTGCATGGTATCTGCATGTATTTATGCATGTGTTTTTCTATCTGTCATTTTGTCGTCCGTCTGCCCGTTGCTTCCATCTCAAGTCTGGAACCGAGTGTGGATGTATTTCCGGACCTTTCCGGTCTGATTCATCCTCAATAATTCTGGTGCGACTACGTGACATAAGTGCACGGCCCTTGTTGGCTCAGACCTCATAAGCTCTTATATCTCTGCGAAGCGTGCTGAATAGGCCCGTCACGAGAGTGCTTAACAAGTCCGACTAAAACTAAGGCGTTTCTGGACGTATTTGACTGTAATTGCGGCCGGCGATGGGTGTATCTGGCTGCAATTGCGCCCAGAGCACGTGTGCATGCGTGCGTGTGGGTGAAGGGCAGGGCAAGTAGCAAAAAGACGAGACGGATTGAGATATGTAGACCTCGGAGAGTCGGAGTCGCTCATCTCCTCGTTTCCAGGAGAAGTACACGTTTACGCAAAGGAAGACGCGCATGTACACTCCACACACGTAGGCAGACAGACGCAAAATGTCCGTCGAAGCTGCGGCACGACTCACGATCAGGTTTTCTGTTTTCTCTTCGTTTGTGGTCTTGACTTGGCACAGCGTAAGCACAGAGCATGTTTTCCGTTTTCTCTTGGTTTGTGGTCCTGACGTGGCACAACGTAGGCCGAGACGATGGAGGTACGTAAGCGCTGTAAGCGAGGATCGGTACCAGACCTTGCAGGTTTGGCGAACGGATCAGCCGGCGAAGTCCGACGGCAAAGTCTGTGGTCATCTTTTTTTCGAAATGTTGCTCTTTTCGGAATTTTATTCTTGTTCTTTTTGGAATTGTGCGTACAATTACGTCTAAATGCATCCTTTACACGACACCGGCGTAAGCGAGGATCGGTATCAGACCTTGCAGGTTTGGCGAATGAATGAGTCGGCGAAGTCCGACGGCAAAGTCTGTGGCCATCTGTTTATTGAAATTTTGCTCTTTTCGGAATTTTATTGTTGTTCTTTTAGGAACTGTGCGTATAATTATGTCTAAATGCACGACACCGCTGTAAGCGAGGATCGGTACCAGACCTTGCAGGTTTGGCGAATGGATCAGTCGGCAAAGTCTGTGGTCATCTTTTTTTTGAAATTTTGCTCTTTTCGGAAGTTTATTGTTGTTCTTTTAGGAATTGTGCGTACGACTACGTCTAAATGCATCCTTTACACGACACCGCTGTAAGCGAGGATCGGTACCAGACCTTGCAGGTTTGGCGAATGGATCAGTCGGTGAAGTCGGACGGCGAAGTCTGTGGTCATCTTTTTTTTTAAATGTTGCTCTTTTCGGAATTTTATTGTTTTTCTTTTAGGAACTGTGCGTACAATTACGTCTACATGCCTCCTTTACATGTCACCGCCGTGTTTCTGTGAACACTAGAACAAGAAGGCGGAAGAAGCGGGAGAAGGGGGAAAAAGGGGGGACGCCGGGACGGGGAGATGCCTTCTCAGCCCACTCCTTGGCTGCCCACTTTTCCCGCCCATCAGCTCTTCCGCAGTCATTTGTCC